GGTGCTCTCCCCCGTTTTCCAGACAGACTGTCCAGTGGTGGACAGGACGACAGCCGACGGCCCGGACCTGCAGCCTCACGCGGCGGCTCAATGGAAACACAAAAGTCCTTTCTCTGGCAGAGAAAAGCAACCTGGGAAAGATGAGTACTGCCTGATGTGGGGCCCTGCCCCACCCTCTGCCCCCACTGTGGCCAGCAGGGTGGGCCTGGGACGGCCGGCCTCAGCGGTTTTCCCTGATCTCCTCCCGTGCGTGGGGGCTTTCCTGCATCTGCTGCAGGATTCAGCAGCATACTTTGTTCTATTCAGCATTTACTTTGTTCTATTTGAAACGCAGAGTTACAGAGACAGAGAGACAGAGAGAGAGGAGAGAGACCTTCTGTCTGCTGGTTCACTCCCCAGAAGCCACCACAGCAGGGCTGGGCCAGGCTGAAGGCAGTGGGAACTCAGTCAGGGTCTCCCCCGTGGTCAGGGGTCTGGGCCCCAGCTGCTGCCTCCCAGGGTGCACAGCAGAGGAAGCCGGAAGCCGGAGAGGAGCTGGGACCCAAACCTTCACGCTCCTGCCTGGGCTGCGGGCGTCCCAAGCAGCATGGTGACCACCTGGAGCTCTGCTCTCTGGTCCGTTGCTTTCTGGTTTTCAGGAATTAGCTTGTACTGCGCTCAGCGGCAGGAGTACCAGCCTCATACGACTGCATCACACCAGCGTCCGGACAGAGCTTGACCGCTGCCACCGTGCGCCCACTCACGAAGTCTCCAGTTCCCTCCAGAAAAGCGACGTGCAGTGAAGCCACCGTTCCGCAGCCGTCGCCACGGCTGGTCCCAGCCTTGCCGTCTGCAGCTCAGTCAGCTTCCACTTCTGTAGACTGGGTCCTCTTCGCTTTCCTTTCCATTCTTGGCTGTGGGACTCGCAGATGTGCAAAGCAAAACGCTCCTGGGAGTGTCACGCTGCACGGAGCCCTGTAAGAACGCCAGCGCCGCTCACGCTGGCATTTCTACCCTCAAACAGCTGCTGCTTACCGCAGAGCCGTGACCAAAGCCTTTCACCGCTGCCACGTCGGTGGAGACCGATGAAAGTCTCGTACTATATTCCCACCCTAACTTTCACTTACCTTAAAATACAAGAATTAGGCCGGCGCCACGGCTCACTAGGCTAATCCTCTGCCTGCAGCGCCAGCACCCCGGATTCTGTCCCGGTTGCCCCTCTTCCAGGCCAGCTCTCTGCTGTGGCCTGGGAGTGCAGTGGAGGATGGCCCAGGTGCTTGGGCCCTGCACCCGCAGGGGAGACCAGGAGGAAGCACCTGGCTCCTGCCTTCGGATCAGCGCAGCGCACTGGGGCCGTAGTGGCCATTTGGGGGATGAACCTACAGAAGGAAGACCTTTCTCTCTCTCTCTAACTCTGCCTGTCAAAAAAAAAAAAAAAAAAAAGTACAAGAATTAACTTCCAAACCCAAGCGTATCCCAGTTAATGAGAATGAAGGTGGAGAACCCACTACTGAGAACACGGCATCTGCCAGGGAAGCAGGATTGAGAAGAGGGAGGTTTTCTCCAAACACAGCGCCCAACGGCTGTAGGGTTTCCAGGAGCTCGGCGTCCAGCATGCCGCGTGCCTCGGCCGTGGCCAAAGCCAGTGGATCTGTGACCGGGTCCCTGGGGTTTCTGAGGCGTCTCCTCCCTTCCCTGCCACGGCTTAAGGCACACGAGAGATGCGAAGTGTAGCTGTGTACAGAACACCAGTGACCATCAAGCAACTCCTCACGTGGAAAGACCGTGGGAGAGAGCAGGGTCTAAGAACTGGCTGGGACGTTACAGAACAGTCTGCTTTTCAAACATCCGTTCTTGGGGTCAGTTTATTCGGCACCCGAGAGCCACGAGAGCCCAGGGCCTCGAGACCAGATGTGCCCACGGAACAGCACAGCGCAGGGACACTGCCTGGTGACACTCCTCTCGCCCAGAGCCACACCACGGCCTCGGGGGACTTCCTTCTGGGCCTGTGTGGGCACCGACACAGCAGGGAGCCCACTGAACGTTCTGCCTACTCCCCAGTCTATCGCCAGCTGAGTGGAGGCGGCGAACGGCTTTGCTGCTGCCAAAAATGCACCACTGCTCTTTGCCTTTGTTTCCCACAAGGCGAAACGGCATCGCTTAGGCAGGCAGCCGGGGACCACGAGCAGCACGGGAAGGGGCCGTGTGACGCCGGGGCTGCCTGCCACCGCTTCAGCTGCACGGACTCGCCACTCCTGCTGCTGCTTCTACATTTGTGAAGCGGGAAGACACCACCGAGGACCAGAAACGCCACTCCAGGCACCGCCCGCGTGGCGCTCCGGCTTTCAGGAAGCACTTCCCCCGTCAGGGAGGCCGCCCGCCCCGCATGGGGCAGGCCCGGCCCCTGCCCTGGTTTTGCTCCTGCGGGCTCTGGGCTGTGTGTGACCAACGGCCCGATGTGAACCTGCCGACCCGAGGTCTGGCTTCCAGGACGGCGCACGGCCCTGCTGAGACCCTGGGGCCCAGCAGGTGAACTCGTCCTGACATTCACCTTGGGGAAACACAAGGCACTTGCCGCCCGTCCCGGGAGCCTGGGGGAAGCAGGCGCCTAAGCAGTGTCTAAGTTGTGGGATGTGGTTACAGCCCTTCCCACGTGCCCACTCAACTATAGTCTTGCTTCTTACCCGTTAAACTTCTGATCTGGTGGAGCATAAAGCCCGTGGCTGTAATGTAAACTTAAGATGTTATCTCAAAAACTTAAAAAACAGGAAAGAAAAAAAAAGGAGAGAGGGAGGAAGGAGGGAATATCATAATCTTGAGTTGTATCTATGATCTATATTGAATGTTTAAAAAAAAACAGGAGAGAACGAGAAAGGGGGAGGGTTGTGGGTGGGAGGGAAGTCACGGGGTGGGGGGGGGGGAAGCCAATGTAATCCATAAGCTGTACTTTGGAAATCTATATTCATGAAATAAAAGTAAAAAACAACAACAACAATAACAGAAAATGGGGGCCGGCGCCATGACTCACTTGGTTAATCCTCTGCCTGTGGCGCCGGCATCCCATATGGGTGCTGGGTTCTAGTCCAGGTTGCCCCTCTTCCAGACCAGCTCTCTGCTGTGGCCTGGGAGTGCAGTGGAGGATGGCCCAAGTGCTTGGGCCCTGCACCCCATGGGAGACCAGAAGCACCTGGCTCCTGCCTTCGGATCAGCGCAGAACCGGCTGCAGCGGCCATTTGGGGGGTGAACCAATGGAAGGAAGACCTTTCTCTCTCTCTCACTGTCTGTAACTCTGTCAAAAAAATAAAATAACTGCTACTGCAGTACTACTTGAATGTCGGCTATAAGACAATTCACCGACCTGCCTACCTACCCTCTCTCAAACGGTACACAGCGGCGTGAAACGGCTTCTGCCACCACGCCCACGTCCTGAGTGTCAGCTGTGGCCATGGGCCAGCGCCATCACTGCACGGGGTCCCTGAGGGAGGCACTGTCTGGACTGGGGCAGCGCCTGAGGAACCCTGTGCCACGCCCCCAGAAAACCAGCGGCTCAATACAGACTTGACGGAATGCGTCAGCTTCTGAGTCAATTCAAGGAACAGTAGTGCGTCGCAGTGAAATCCTTCGGCCTTTACCTCACCCCAGCACCGGGGTTATTATCTACAACACACACTGGGCACCCAATACAAGCACCGGCTCTGCTCGACGCCAAGAGAGCTTTGCACCCATCCAGTTTTCTAAAAGAAAAGTGCTGGTTTCAGCACTCCCTTCGGGGTTACTGGAATCTATCTTATCAAATCTTGAGCTAAATCCTACGTCCTTATTGTTCTTAAGTAATTAGTATGATTCCCCACTCCCCCGGCTGGAATTAACAAGATTTAACACCATCAAATCCAACGAAATCAGATTCTGTGACGTACCAGGTTTCTCTAAAGAAGCAAACAGCCGGCCCTTTGTCCTTATCGGAATCTTGCCTGAAGCTTGGGGGAGCATCCATCGTCTGAGTGGCTACAGCAGACCCGTAACCACCCAAACTCACGCACTTCTCAGAACCGCTTCGTGTGAAACAGGCGTTTCGGAAGCGAAGCACTGCGGACCAAGAGGCAGGCGATTTACGGAAGACTAAGCCCCTGCCGGACACAGGTGGGGCCGGTGCACAGCAACGTTTGGCCTCTCTGCTTTCTCTCTACCACCGTCTACACCGAAACCGAATGACTCCAGTATCAGAAACTGTGTCCCACTAAATAGTCACTCCCCTAACTCTTCATTATGAGCTCTGATTACAACAGAAGTGAAAAATTAACACAGACAGAAAATCCACTTTAAACACGTGCATAGGCCTGGGAGTCCCAAAGAATATGGGAATCCCACAAAATGTTTTTATTGCTTCTGGATTTGTATCAAGTGTTTTAATTCTCCCACTTATTTGCATGTAACTTTCTGTTCATTATGTGTCTAGATAAATCTCATCGAATTTAAACACTCAAGAGTATTAAGTGTTCTGGAATTTTAATGGGAAGCAGTGTTTAAGTAGGTACTGATATACGAAGAGTCTTAACTGGCTAACCACAATTAGCATTTCTCTGCTGAACAGCCCTCCATACTGGAAACTCGCTGTCAAACACAGAATTTGTGTCTGGCACAGACAGTGTTCAGTAACTGCCTACCAACAGTACACAGTCAGAAGACGGCGTCCCGCTCCCCTTCTAACTCACGGCGTGGGCATCAGACTCCAGGCAGTGACGCTACCCAGTGTTTCTGCGGTAGCTCCGTAGAGACTGTCAGACAGGCTAAGGAGGGAGGCTACGTTTGGAGTTTCAAATGAGCCGTACGACCCTCTGGAATGACTCCACGGGCTCTTTCCACGCGCAGCTAAGGACACAGGTCAAGCCCAGACGCCAGGCTTAGTCACAGCTCATGTCACTGGTGCAGGGCCAGAGGATAAACAGCTGTGGCCTCCCAGGACGTGCACTCTCAGATGTGACTACCCAGCCACAGACAGCACTTAAGCAAATAAGCATGGCTGTGTTCCAACGAAACTTTATTTACAGACACTACCATTTGAATTTCATGAAATGATTTTGTTAACCATTTAAAAATGTGAAGAACCACTCAGCTCACAGGCCACACAGAAACAGGCGTTGGGCTGGATCCGACAGGCGGGCAGGCTTCCTGGCCCCAGTCTAAATCTATGTTCTTTTTTGACACTCATTTATTTGCTGGCAATTAGTTCAACTTCTACTTCATTATTAAGTGAGAACAATACAAAATTTGCTTAAGGCTTTGTCTAGACTGCTGGTGTATAAATTTTTAAGACAAAATTTTAAAACTAACTTAGGTCAAAATCAACTATGCTGTTAGAGGAACAAACTGGCCAAGTTCCTTTATTTCTTGACGTCACATCTGCACATCCACACGGCAGGAGGTGCCCCTTGTTTTCCCGACAGCATCTGGCTGCACTTCCAAGTGTAACACAGCAAGCGCAAGGTCACCTGGAAGTGTGCAGTTACACACCTCACATAAATTAAAGACGCTACACCACCATCGTGACAGCAAAGCGGTGATCTGAAGTTCTGTGACTCGATGCCTCCCGTCTGATGTACCCATCATTTAAAAACGGCCATTTGGGGAACAGGTCAGGGTATCAAGTATCTGCCATGAAACATTTGGCCTTTTCCTTTTTAAAAAATAATCCTCAAACGTTAAGCCTTTATCGAACTGTTTCATGGAAACACGTTATGGCAGCAAGAAACAAAGCTGCGAAGCGCTGTATTTTTAGCAACCTGGCTGATTTAAAACATTTGTTCAAAGAAGCAACATTGTCTTTATTAAAGCAAGATAGCTGAATGACATCTTTCTCTCCACATCAACCCATTAGGCTGCTTCCAAGTCACACCCCCCCTCAAAAAATCAGTCTGAGACTCCCGAGGTGTTTTAACTCAAACCTATATTTGTCGTTTCTAGGATGCTGACCCACAGAGCGCGTTTGTGTTACACGCGTACCAACGCGGACAAAGGCAGAGAGCCACTGCACCCCACACGCGCCACGGCTCCTGTGCTAGCGTTCTCTAAAAAGAGACATTCACAGCCCCACGCCTCAGGAGGCGGCGATGCGATAAATACACGGTGGCTCGCTCTCCACAGCTACCTGTTGTAGGCCCCTCTTTTTTGGACTTCTCCAGCGCCTTGTCCATGGTCTTCTCGTTCTCCCCCCGACACTTGGGACAGTACCACTTGCCCTTGGGTTTATGGTTGAGCCCCACGCACGAGAAGTGGAACCACTCGATGGGGCACTCGTCGTTGTCGCAGCCGATCATCTCTCCATAGGAGACCTGGTTGCACAGGCAGTACGTGGGCTCGTTCGGGTCGATGGGGAGGTCGGCGGGGGACGCGTCCCGCTCTGCTTTGGCCTTGGAGCGCTTTCTTCTTCTTGGAGGTCTTCGCCTTCTTCTCCTTGGGTGTTCCCGCGGCGATGTCGTCGTGGTCGTGGTTGTTGGAAGCGTTCTCCCGGTTCTCGTTGTTGCGCTGCCGCCGGGACCCGCTTGTTGTTCGGCTTCTCCGCCTGCGTGACTGTCTCGCTCTTGGACTTCTCCTGGCCGGCTTTGCCGCTGCTGCCGGCCGCGTCGCCGGCGTCCTGGTGGGCCTCGAGCAGGGCCACATGACTGTCCACCTGCCTGCTGCGGTTCTCCACCAGCTCCACCATCTGGCTCACAATCTGGATCTTCTCGTCGCCCAGCTCCTGGCTGCGGATCAGGGCTCTCTGGATGCAGTGCAGCACGCGCCTCTTCTGGGTGCCATCCGCCTCGCGCTTGAACTTCTCGTAGTAGTCATCCAGCTCCTTCAGGATCTCTGCAAGGGAAAACAGCACGGTTACACGGCCACACGCACACACGTGCCCTCTACTGACTTCTACAGAAGGAAGTGCGGGTGGAGGGCGCTGGGCGCAGGGGTGAAGACGCTGCGTGGGGTCCCGCATCCCTAGCAGAGCGCTGCTTCAACGCTCAGCCACTGTCTGATCCAGCTCCCCGGGAGCCCACGGAGACGGCTCCGTGGCTGGGTCCGTGCCACACTCACGGGAGACCCAGGCTGAGCTCCCAGCTCCTGGCTTCAGCCTGGCCCAACCCTGGCTGTTGGGGGCACTTGGTGAGTGAACCAGCAGATGGAAGATCTCTCTCTCTCTGCCTTTCAAATACAATACAATAAGTAAAAGGGTATTTCTGGCTTGCTTGTTTCGTGTACAGTAGCTGCAGGGCAGGTGCTGTAGTGCCACAAGGTAAGCAACCACTCTGGCTGCCCGCGTCTCCTCTCCGCCTGCACCCGCGTCTCCCTCTCTGCCTGCCGCGTCTCCTCTCGCCTGCCCGCGTCTCCTCTCTGCCTGCTCCAGTCATGGCTGCCCGCGTCTCCTCTCCGGCTGCCTGTGTCTCCTCTCCGCCTGCCCGCGTCTCCTCTCCCCTGCCCGCATCTCCTCTCCGCCTGCCCGCGTCTCCTCTCTGCCTGCTCCAGTCCTGGCTGCCCCGTCTCTCCTCTCTGGCTGCGTCTCCTCTCTCTGCCTGCTCCAGTCCTGGCTTGCCTGCGTCTCCCTCTCCGGCTGCCTGTGTCTCCTCTCGCCTGCCCGCGTCTCCTCTCTGCCTGCTCCAGTCCTGGCTGCCAGCGTCTCCTCTCCGCCTGCCCGCGTCTCCTCTCTGCCTGCTCCAGTCCTGGCTGCTCTGCGCCCGAGGCAGGCAGCGCCCGTGGAGTGCCTGCAGAGCAGCAATGACGGCTCAGTGCGGGGTCCCTGCCACCCAGATGGAGCTCCGGGTCCCTGCTTCAGCCTGGCCCAGCCCTGGCTACTGCAGCCATTAGGGACCTGAACCAGGGAGTAGAAAATCACTTTTTCTCCAGCTCTCCCCACTGGCATTCTGCCTCTCAAAATAAGCAAGGCTTTCTAGTGTGGAAACCATAACCTCCAGGCCTTCTAGACACTTCCCTGCTGACCTGAACAGGATGGCCCGCGTCACGTTCAGCCAAGTGCCCTTAGGGACTCTGTGGTTCAGGAGTGTGGGTGACAAACACTCCAAGTAAGGCTTGCGCTCAAACTTTCACTTCTCATTAAACCAACACTGTCCTCCCCTTCTATCTCCATTCAAATGCTTCACCAATCATCGAAAGGCCTTTATTCTCTTTATTTGATTGGCCAGTATCTCGAATGCCTGCTAACTTGGACTGCAAATGCATGTACGCAAAGGCTCTCCACATTCAAAGACGGAGGTGAGCAGGACAAGGCCACGTGGTGCTCACTCAGCAGGTGCTTCGTACTACTGAAACGACAGCTTCTCCACGACCACACCACACGAGCTCGCCCTTTAAACTAAGGGCAGACTTGACTGCTGGACTTGCTGCTTGATCCACAGCATCTCAGAGCTATTACAGTCGAGGGATCTCAACATACTGTCAGAAACCGAAACACCCTCAGTACCAAATGCACACCCCCTTGGATAGGTGGGAAGATGACGACTTGACTATGTGATTTAAATGTAATCTAGCAAGTGCAATTAGGTAACTTCTCAAGAAACAAAAGGTGTTCTCTAACCTAACTCAGTGAACAAAGGAACTGAAGCCGGCACTAACGCTCACCGACTCGGCACACCCAAGTTTCCAGGCCAGTCTCAGAGTCTTGATTCTGAAGGCCAACTTCCCCACCTGTCACCACAGATGCGGAGCTCCTCACGTACTGTTACAAGTTGCAGGCAGTGTCATCTGGCTTACTCGGGGGTCACCTTTCTGAGACGATAGGAAGCCACCCCTCTACACTGCTACCCTAACACACAGCGTCTCTGCTCAAACACGCTTCCTTCCAGGCGAAGACGGACTCGGGGGGACAAACACGGTCCTACCACAACCACGAGGAACACACCTGAGCCTGCATCTCTCAGATGCGGAAGCAAGGCCTCCATCCACAAAGCCAGGAGCCCACGCCAGCGCCACGTGGCCCACACTGTGCACCAGGCGCTCACACCGGCGCCACGTGGCCCACAATGAACACCAGGCACCCACACTGTGCACCAGGAGCCCACACTGTCCACCAGGCGCCCACACCGGCGCCACGTGGCCCACACTGTGCACCAGGCACTCACACCGGCACCATGAGCCACACTGGCAGCCACGTGGTCCACACCGGCACCACGTGGCCCACACTATCCACCAGGCACCCACACCGGCACCACGTGTCCACACTGGAGCCACGTGGCCCACACTGCGCACCATGAGGCCCACACTGTGCACCTGGCGCCACACCGGCACCAGGAGCCCACACCAGCACCAGGAGCCCACACCGGCGGCCACGTGGCCCTGCTCTCGCTGGCTGCACCACGGCTGCCAGTCACTGAAGTCTGTTAGGAAGCACTTCCCCTGGGGACCCATTCCTTCTGCTGTGACACTTGAGAAGTGGTTCAGCAACCTGGAACGCCCCGGAAGTGACGGAAGTTACTGGGATGCGCTGCCGTGGCACAGGGGTGAGGCTGGGAAGCCCGCGTTCAAGTCCCCGCTGCTCCACTCTCGACCAGCTCCCTGCGGAAGGGCCCAGGAACGCCGTGGAGGACGTCCACGCAGTCGGACCCCCTGCACCACGTGGGAGACCGGACGAAGCCGATGCTACAGCCATCTGGGGAGTGGCCAGCGGACGGAAGGTCTCTCTCGCCTTCTCTGTCCGTAACTCTGCCTTTCAAATAAGTCAGATAAATAAAACTATTAAAGTTGTCGTACCACATAGCCAGTGGACTCGAAGGCAACAACCCTGGTACACCAGGCCTGGCTCGCCTCACGTCCACGGCCCGGAGTCCGAAGGACAGCCCTGCCCCGGGCCTCGGGCCCCCCGACTCTGCCCAGCGCGGACAGCGCCGACCTCGCGCCTGGACGCCCGGGCCGGGCCCTCCCGCCACCACCCTGCGGGCCCGCCGCGCTGTCCGGCTCGCTGTCTTTCCGTTACAGCCTCGGAGTGGACGCCCCAAGGGCACTCACGCTTCTCCAGTCACGCACGACCACACTCCCGAGTCAGTGCACAGGCGGCCGGAGCCTCCCGCAGCCCCGTCCCGCGGGTGACCGGGGCCACGAGAGCGGCGACAGCCGCAGGGCCGGCCCGCGGCCGCCGCCATGGCTCCGCGGCCGGAAGTGACCGAGCTCAGCCAGAGGAGGAGCCCCAGCGATCCCGGGACCGGCCTCCCGCCAATGGGGAGGAGAACAGCGCGCCACGCCCGGCGAGCCGTCGCCTATGGGGATCGCCGGGCTGGAGGGCGGGGGCCGGCGGGGCGCCAATCACAGCACAGGGCTCGCGAGCACGGCCCGCCCCAGCAGCGAGAAGGGCCAATCTGAGGCCGGAGGCCGGGCGACCCGAAGACATTCAAATCAACTCGACCTCCTCTCGCCACCCCGCCCCTCTCAAAAGGGAAAAAGGCAGCGGAAACACAGACCCGTGCCAATCTCCGCGCAAGGCCCGCCCCGTCCGGCCCCACGGCCAATCGGCCTACAGCGACCTGATAAGGACATTCCACGGAAGCCGTCACGGCCAATCGCGACGAGGCCGGGGCGGAACGTTCCGCAGTATGCTAATCGGGCTCCTATAAAAGCCGCTGCGCAGCTACGTCTCCGGCAGAGCGCGCAGGGGCGCCTCGGCGGCGCGGCCTCCCTGCGTGATCGGAGCGAGCAGTAGCTCTCCACCCCCCCCCGCCCCAACGCTTCCGTTTCCCCGCTGCGCAGCCCTGTAAACAGGAGTAAACTCCGAGGACGGGCCGCGGCCCGAGCGGCAAGCCCCTCGCGCGAAGTTTCCCCGGCGGGCGGCGGGGGCCGCGGGCAGCGACCCACAGGTCGCCGCGGCCGGGCGCCTCCCCTTCCCCTCCGGCGCGCCCGCCGCCAGCAGCCCCGCGCCCGCCGCAGCCGGCGCCCCGCACTTTATGTAACAGCGGGCGGGGGGCCGCACGCGCCCCCCGAGGCCCGGCCCGGCCCCCGCCCCCGCAGCGCCGCCCCATCACTTCACTACAAAGAGCCGCCTCCTCGGGGCCCGGCTCTGCACACGGGGACCCCGGCGCGGCCGCGGCGGCCCCGGCCCTTTTGTTCCGCTGCCCCGGGGGGGTGGCCGCGCCGCCCCCGCCCGCCGCCCCCCGCCGCACCTTGGTACTTGGCGTCGATCTCCCGCATGAGCGAGACGTTCCGCTGCAGGTCGAACGGCAGGGACTCCACGGAGTCCAGGTAGTCCTCCACATAGTTGGCCAGGTGGGTCTGCTCCCCGTTGGCAGGACTCAACATGGTTCACCGCCCAGCTCCCCGGCGGCGCGGCGCGGCTTTCCGCTTCCTGCGCCCCCCGCCCCCCGCCGGAGAGCCCCGCAGCAATGCACAGCGCGCGCCCCCCGCCGGCTCCGGCCCGGCCCGGCCGCTACATCGGCCGGGGCCGCGGGGACCCCGGCGCCTGCGGGCGCGGGCCGCGGTGGCGGAGGCTCGCTCGCGGCCGCGCAGGCCCCCTCCCGGGCGGCGGGGCGGGCGCGTGCGGGCGGGCGCGCGCACACACGCCGGCGGCGGGAGAGGCCCGCGCAGGCAGCGGCCAGGGGCGCGCTCGCCGCCCGCCCGCCGCGCCGCACTTGTCCCAACGTGGAAAACCCAAATACCAGTTTCAAACACTTGGGAAACATTCAGCCCCGCCGCGCAGCGCGCATGCGCCCCGCCCCCCCGCCCGGCGGCCCCGCCCCCGCCGCATGCACGCCCCTCGCCGCCCCGGGCCCGGGGGGCGGCGGGGCCGCGAGGGGGCGGCGGCGGGGCGGGGGCCGCGAGGGGGCGGCGGCGGGGCCGCGGGCGGGGCGGGGGCCGCGAGGGGGCGGCGGCGGGGCCGCGGGCGGGGCGCGAACTTTACTAGGAGTTTGCGACTTGCGGGCACTGCTGCCGGGCGGCGCCGCACACACGCGCGGCGGCGGCCTGCCCCGCCGGAGACCCGCCCGGGACCGAGACCGCGGCCCGCGCCGACCTCACCTCCCTCTCCTCAAGCCCCTCAAGCTCCACAGTCCCCGCCTCGCCGCGCGGCTTAAGTAGGGCCCGCGCCGAACTGGCAACGCCGACAGCCAATCCGCCCGCCGCCCTGACGGCAGGCGCCCAATCAGGACGGCGAGGGGGCGGGGCTACCGTGCTTCTTACAACTAGACAGCCTGGTCCTCCGGGAGGCGGAAGGAGGGGCGGGGCGAAGCCCGGGCGGGAAGCGCCGGCGCGTGCGCACTGCTGGCTCGGGGCGGCCCGCGAGGCCCGCGCGGGGCCACCGGCCCCTCCTGCAGCGGGACCACCATTCCCAGCAGCCTCGGCGGCTCCGCGCCTGCGCCGCGCCTCGCCGCGCCTCGCCGCGCCTCGCCGCCCTGCCTTTGTGTCGCCTCTCGGAGCTCAGTTTGGAGCGGTCTGGAAACAAAGGGGCCCGGGAGGGAATCTGCTCCCCGGGTCCAGCCGCCGAAGGGGGCAGGCGAGCGGGGGCGGCGCCTCCCCGGGACCCCTGCGTGTCCCGTCCCGGGCTTCGGAGGGCCTCTCCGCGCCTGCTCCGCTCGCTTGGACAGACAGCGGCAGCTCCCCGGCCCTCGCTCGGCCCCGTCCGTCCCGCCGGGCCCCTCTCCCCGCCCGAAACTCCGGGACTTGGGGCTGTCCGAGAAGCCCGGGCGCCGAGCGGCCCCGTTGCCTAGACGACGGCCGGCAGCCCCGCCCACTTCCGGCCGAGGCCCCGCCCCTGGCGGCCGCGGCCCGGCCTTTGTCCGTCGCCTCCCGGCCGCCCGCCCGCCGAGCGCGCGCTGCCCGCCGTGCGGTCCGTGTCGCGAGCTGCGGGCCCGCGCGCCTCAGGCCGGGTGCGCGCGGCCGCGTGGGTCTTTCTCGGGGAGTCCGGCGGGTGCCCGTAGGGGGAATCGCGTGGCGGATGCGCCGCCCTCGACGTGAAGTGGTGGCGGTTTCTCGGGCGGGCGCTCGGGCGTGTGCGGCGCTGTGCGGTGTCAGGGTTGACGAGCGCCGCGCGTAGCCCGCGGGCGGTACAGCGTCTGGAAGCGGTCGCGCCCGACGGCCCCACGTGCCCTGCCTCAGGGCTGTGGTGCGTGGGGTTGGGGCTGTCCACGCGGGGAGGCTGCGGGAGGCGCCTGTCCTGGAGGCTCGGTCGGCCCCCGCCGGTGCGGCCAGCGCCCTCAGACACCCGGTCAGCCCCCGACGGTGCGGCCCTGCTCTCGGACACCCCGGTCAGCCCCTGAGGGTGTGGACAGTGCGGCCCGCGCCCGCGGACACCCGGTCAGCCCCCGCCGGTGCGGACAGTACGGCCCGGGCGTGAGGCACCTGCCTGTCAGCCCCCGCCGGTGCGGCCCGCGCCCTCGGACACCCGGTCAGCCCCCGACGGTGCGGCCCGCGCCCGCGGACACCCGGTCAGCCCCCGACGGTGCGGCCCGCGCCCGCGGACACCCTGGTCAGCCCCCGCCGGTGCGGCCAGCGCCCTCAGACACCCGGTCAGCCCCCGCCGGTGCGGCACTTGCCTGTCAGACCCCGCCGGTGCGGCCTTGCTCTCGGACACCCTGGTCAGCCCTCGACGGTGCGGCCAGCGCCCTCGGACACCCCGGTCAGCCCCGAGGGTGTGGACAGTGCGGTCCCGGCCGTGAGGCACCTACCTGTCTGTCGGCCCCCGACGGTGCGGACAGTACGGCCCGGGCGTGAGGCACCTACCTGTCTGTCAGCCCCCGCCGGTGCGGCCCGCGCCCTCGGACACCCGCCCAGCCCCCGAGGGTGTGGACAGTGCGGCCCCGGGCGTGAGGCACCTGCCTGTCTGTCGGCCCCCGCCGGTGCGGCCCGCGCCCTCGACACCCGGTCAGCCCCCGCCGGTGGGGCCCGCGCCCTCGGACACCTGGTCGGCCCCCAACGGTGTGGACAGTGCGGCCCGCGCCCTCGGACACCCGCTCAGCCCCCGCCCGTGTGGCCCGCGCCCTCGGACACCGGTTGGCCCCGACGGCCTGCCTGCGATGCGCCCGCCCTGCCTCCTGGCCCTCCCAGGACAGGAGAACGTCCCCCTGGGTGTTTGCGGTGTCCTTGTTCGCGTCCTGAGCGGCGCCCTTCTCCCGGTGTCCGCCCAGGCACCTGGCCGTCCTCGGCTCCCAGGTTCGGCAGCAGGGAGCAGCCGGGCCTGGGGGACGCGGCACTGCGGGCGGCTCAGCCCCTGCGCCAGCCCCTGCGCCAGCCCCTGCAGTCCTTAGTTTTAATTCGCCAAGGAGGCAGGAGACAAGATTCGCAGGATCCGTTTTTCGGCATATAGCTAAAATCTTGCCAGTCACTTTATTCAAGAGGTGAATATTCAGTGCGCAAGGGATCACGTTTTTCACCATCATTAAATAATGCTTCATTGTTTTGGCGATTCCCAAAGCCTCACACAAGAACTGCTGCCAGCCAGGGCCTAAACACATGGCGCGCCTGGTTTTCTGCAGACAGGAGATAACTGCTGATTTAAAAGGCACAGTTGGGGCCGGCATTGTGATGCACTGAGTTAAACAGTACAGGAGACACTGGCTTCCAGTATGAGTGCCCTGGTGAGTCCCGGCTGCTCCACTTCTGACCCAGCTCCCTGCTAATGCGCCTGGGACAGCAGCAGAGGACGGCCGAGCGCTTGGGCCCTGCACCCGCGTGAGAGACCAGGATGGAGCTCCTGGCGTCTGCCTTCACGGCCAAGGCCATTGCAGGCATCTGCGGAGTAAGCCAGCAGATGGAGGGTCTCCCCTTCTCTCCATCTCTATGTCTTTCAAATGACTAATTTTTTTTTTTTTTTTTTTGACAGGCAGAGTGGACAGTGAGAGGGAGGCAGAGAGAAAGGTCTTCCTTTTGCCATTGGTTCACCCTCCAATGGCCGCCGCGGCCGGCGCACCGCGCTGATCCGAAGGCAGGAGCCAGGTGCTTCTCCTGGTCTCCCATGGGGTGCAGGACCCAAGCACTTGGGCCATCCTCCACTGCACTCCCTGGCCACAGCAGAGAGCTGGCCTGGAAGAGGGGCAACCGGGACAGAATCCGGCGCCCCCGACCGGGACTAGAACCAGTGTGCCAGCGCCTCAAGGTGGAGGATTAGCCTAGTGAGCCGCGGCGCTGTCCTCAAATAACTAATGTTTAAAAAATATAAAAAAGAAAGGAAAAGCCACAGTTTTTTAATGGCCAATTCAGATAGACCAGCTATCCAGATTTGTGTGCAGGATTTGGACTTCAGTGTTACTGAACTTATTTGTAAAACTTAGACTTTTGCTCGTTCCTTGAATTCTGCATATTATCTCGGATTGCGTCCTGGATTTTTGTTTTACTGGCCCATCTGGGACCCTGGTCAGGAGTTTCTCTACCAGACATTCTACTGTGCAAGCTTCGTCTCAGCACAACAGGTGCACTTCGTGTTCAACAAGCCCTCGCCTTGAATTGAGTCAAGGCTACAGTGAGGGGTTCAAAAGGCTTTAGGGCCTAGAGTTCTGCGGGAGAGAACACACACATCAAACTGACAGGACACAGTCACAAAACAGCATCAAGACAAGTCTTGGGCTGGCGGTGTGGACGTGAGAACACTCCAGAATGTAGAGAGATGGGAACCACGCGTGGTTAGCACTGGCTTGTGTGGTCTCCTGCCTGTACACAAAGGTTTTGATGTTTCAGCCTTAAACATGAGAACACGTTTGTACTACAGACAGAAAATGCACAGTTAGACACCAGAATCTTGACAGCGTTTTTTAAGTACTATAGAAAGACACTGATTTTTCTCTGACTCATAATTTGCCTTTCAATAACTTACCAAGGCAAACCCAACAAAGAACCCAAGAACCTCAGAGCTGTTTGAACATTGCAAAACCAAGGGGATTTCTTTTTTTTCTTTTCTTTTTTCTTTCTTTCTTTCTTTCTTTTTTTTTTTTTGGTAAGCACTGTTTTGAAAGATACTAATAGGGAGGCATTTTGAAAGTAATTTTCAGAATGTTTCATTTTCAAAACCTGGATGTTAAATAAGACTTTTACCCTTAAAATGAATCCCAAGTGAACATATCTTGTTAGCTACATGATAAATGGTAGTGTACTGGCTGTGGTCTTCCCCTCGGAGACACTAAAGAAAACGTGGGTGCAGATGTGCTGCTGCAGGGACATCCAGGGGCTGTGTGCTGGGGTGGAAGTGTGTGTGTTGGGTGTACACTGTGTACTGGGAGACAGGCAGTGGTGTTGGGCTCACACTGTCTGTGGTACTAGGATGCGGACGTGGTATGTGGTGGGTGCACAATGTACTGAGCTATAGAACTGTTGTGTGTTGGGTGCATACTGTAACGGGATGCAGACAGTTGGGTGTACACACTGTACTAGAATGCAGATGTGTGGGTTGGGTATGCACTGCGTACTGGCATGCACACATGGTGTGTGTTGGGGTACACACTGTTCTGGGATCCAGACGCATGTTGGGTGTACACTGTGTATTGGGAGACAGTCGTGATGTGTGTTATCTGCACACTGTACTGGGATGAAGGTGTCTATTGGGACACACACTGTACTGGGATCCAGACATGTTGTATATTA